TCCCAATTCAGGTTAATTTTGTATGAAGCAGCTGTCAGGAGGCCAATACATGAACACAAGAAGTATCACAAGTAAGTTAAACTTTCCAGGTTACAGTTCCAAACTGCCTTGCACAAAATCAGCCCTACTCCCAGTAGTCCCACATCCTAATTTCTACTTTCACCCATATCAAGGGCTCTAGAATGAAGAATTAAAGACAAACTAGAGCTCATTGGGGAATTTATTTTAAAAATCTCCAGTTCCTCATTAGGTATCTTCTGCTCTGATATTCATATCCTGTAAATGGATATTATAGTGGATAGTAATATGGATATTATCCACACCTCATACAGCTATGGACATTTCCTTATTTATATAAATATCTAATAATTAAATCCAGCCTACCATCTGGGCAACTGGACCCACAGAGACCTTTGACACAAAACACTAATCTTCATTATACTCTAATATCATTATAATATAGGAAAATATGAAGCTCAACAGCCTTAAGGTCAAGCAGACCAAGAGACCTTCTGCTACAAGTTAATTTTTGTTAGCAGAGCTAGGCAAATGTTTACCTCAGAAGCAAGAAGTATTCCAAAGTGACCTCACCTCCTTCCACTGGAACCTTTGGAACTACTGGGCTTGCACAGAAAAAAATTGCAGGCTTTATGTTTTTTTTTTTTGGTTATATGTATTTTTAAACTGGTCAGAGTTCATGATTCCATCTATGTGGCTTGCTGTTCTGCAGGGGCCATTTTGACCATGCAAACTAAATCTAAAAGCTGGATTTTAAGAACTTCGTCAACTTTTTACTTTTATTAGACCCTGTAATTGTAAATACTTCAACTGAGACACCATGGGACTAATTCCTAAGGGTTCCGTGCTCCCACAGATCCCAGCCTGGACATCTCTTCCCTGTGCTCCATTTGAGTGTGGCCAACACAGCCAAACCCCCTGAAATTTCCAAGTTTGATTTTAAAATAGAAACACAGTTGTCTCTGCTACTTCAAGGATTTCAAGTACCTCAATTAGAACAAGGTATTCAAGCTCTTTCAGGCAGTTTGGGGTGCAGGACGTGCATTTCTGTGCAAGATGCAGTTGGTAAATGTCTCGAAGGAACGACAGTTCCACAATCTCACTCAACAGGAACACTGCACATTTTTTTTTTACCAGCACATCCAGTCAGGCAATATCTAACACAATAAACTGCAGTGGAGAGAAACTTTTAGCACTTGCCCCCAATTAAAAAAACGACTGGCAAGCAGAACTGCTGGCTGTGACTGCCCTGACTCAGGGTGCCTTGGTCACCAGATGATAAAGGAGAACAAGTCATGCCTATGAGGAAGAGGTGAGAGTGTTGCTGGGGTTTCTAAGCCCCTATGGAAGATTTAGGGAAGATTTAACTCAGATCACCAGCAAGCTTAAGAGAGATCTCCCTCCTGCAAAGAGGCAGGGAAGGAATGGAGGTGCCCTGCTAATCTGACTGGGAACTGCAGTCAGCGTGCCTGATAACGCAGGTTATCTCTTCTGAAGCACTAAACCCTCCACACACACACACAAACCCCCCTACAAAGATAATCCAGAGGGCAGATACAGATTATCTGTGCCTCTGCTGCTGCTGAGTGATGACTGTGGTAATGCAGGGCCGTGCCAACAGTAAAATCTGAGCACAGTGCTGAGATGTACCAGGGCACTGCAGTGTGGGCAGCCAAACGAGCGACATCCACAAGGATCCTGCTGTCAGGAAGGGTAGAACAGGCTGCTGCATCCATTTGCTTCCTATGCAGCTCTGACTACAGGCTACCCTTAATAATTCCCACCTGGGCCTTGCCATGCAGCATTTCCATTTAACCTTAACTACAGCACACCTTGTTATTTTGGTCCTGGTTTTCTTAATAAAGGTCTGACGATGCCCCCCTATCTTGACCTCCTTTACCTCTTGTCAGACCAGGCCTGGTCCTGGGCTTTTCCAGACACGTTTATCATGGCCTGCTGCACAACCTGCCATGTTAATCCTCAATTTACAGCCTGTCTCACTTCAGACCCTGCAGGTCCTCACCACGAGACACCAAACCACACACACTTCATTATTGATTTACTCAACCTGCTATGCCATGGCAGCCATCCCATAACCAAATGCACCCAAATACTGACTTCCAAAAATTTGTTTCAAGTCCAGTTGAGGGTCACTTCCAAGATAAAAAATATGCCGTTAGCCTGTAGGGAAAACATGGGGTTTAGTAGCTGTTCCCCCTTGTCCTTAGTTTTACAGGGGTGTTTAAGTATTTTTGGCATGCAGTAAATCTAGGGCAGACTTCTCCAGTGGGGATGGAAAAGACATTTGAAATTTGTTTATTAAAAAGGGGAAAAAAAAAGAACAAACCAACCCAAACACGATTAATTAGATTTGTCATTTCTTTCCCCCCCCCTCAATTATTGTTAATAATTATAAAGGCAGAAGTTTTCCACAGGTACGGCAATGGGGAATGAGGAAGCAAAGTTTAGCTGGATGACCTTGCATTCTGAGGGACATTTTGTCCACTGGGGCGCAAAAAGATTGAGAAGCATAATTTTTTTGCTCAATGCAAAGGAAAAGAAAAAAGCAAGAATATATTGAAAAGCCAAGCCAGGAGGCAGTAAAATAAAAATACAGGGAAATACGAGATGACACGGACACAGATGATGTTTCCTATGATGGATTAACCCACTCATTGTTCTCCTCCATTTTCACAGACCAGGATAAGCTCCTTCCCCGCTCATCAATACCATGTAGAAAAAGACGGGCAGCGTCTTCCCTGTCGAGTTATTGCGGACCCCCCCCCAAAAAAAGGCGCATTACACCCTACACCCCCCCCAGCGCAGAGCTGGCTACCCCGCAGGGATGGGGGCAGCCGGGGATCCGGGTCGGACCATCGGCAGCACCGAGCGCCTTTCGCCGCATTAAAGAACCAGCCCGGGAGGCGCCGGCAGGGAGAACAAAGGCGGGCCCGGCGCTGCCCCGCGGGAGCCGCCGCGCACTCACGGGCACTCTGTCCGGGTACTTCTTGCGGATCTTCTCGCCCTCCTTTTTCCGGTACTCGAACGGGTGGTCCTCCTTGTACTGGAACTTCATGGTGCCGGGCTGTGCCTCCGCTCCGAGCGCTGCGGCGGCTCCGTCCCTGCCCCGCGGCCCGGCCTGCCCCACCCTCCCGATGACGTCACGGAGAGGGGCGGTGCCGCCGTGACGTCACGGGGAGGAGCCCCCGCTGCGGCCGGGCTGTGCCGCTGAAGCTCTGACGTCACGGGGGAGGTGCCCCGCCGGGCGCTGTGACGTCACGAGGGAGGTGCCCTACAGAGCTCTGTGGCGCCACAGGGGAGGTCCCCCTTTGCCGCTTTGACGTCATGGGGAGATGCCCCTCTTCTGCTGTGACGTCTCAGAGAGGTTCCCCCTTTGCCGCTTTGACGTCAAGGGTAGATGTCCCTCTGCTGCTGTGATGTCATGAGGAGGTCCCCCTTTGCCTCTGTGACATCATGGGGAGGTGGCCTGCTGCACAGCTGAGCGCTGTGATGTCATGACGGAGGTCCCCCTTTGCCACTGTGACATCACAGAGTCCCCTCTGCCAGTGTGACATCACAAGGAGGTGCCCCGCTGTGCCGCACATTGCTCTGACGTCACAGAGATGGTGCCCCTTTTGCCTCTGTGATGTCACAAGGAGGTCTCCTTTGCCACTCTGACATCATGGGGAGGTGCCCCACTGCATCTGTGACATCATGGGGGAGGTCCCCTCTTGCCGGTGTGATGTCATAGGGGTTCCCCCTTTGCTGCTGTGACATCACAGTGAGGTGCCCCCACTGTGCCACAGATTGCTGTGACGTCATAGGGAGGTGCCCCGCTGCCTTTGTGACATCACGGGGAGGCCCCCCTTTGCCGCTCTGACATCACGGTGAGGTGCCCTGCTGCACCCCTGAACACTGTGACGTCACTAGGAGGTGTTCCCACTGCCCATGTCTGTCTGTCCGTCCCAGGACGCGTGGACATTTCCCCACAGTCGCCAGGTGGTGTCAGAGGATCCATCAGAAGGCACTGTTTTTGTGCAGTCAAATAGGGAACAGCCTAAGATGGAAGGAATCCTGGGGTTCTGACCTGTGGAAAATTCTGGTTTTGTGGCACTGCACCTTTCCATGATTCCTGTGTTTGGCCTCCTGGCTTCCTAACTGCTGGCAGCACACCAAAGTGTATTCAAGGTCTGTGGTGATGTAGGTTTGTCCTCAAGGGCAAAAGAGAGGAACTTTTCACCCAGGCCACCAACATGTCCTGGCAATTTTAACAGACTGACCTCGAACTCCCTTTGTCCCGTAAATGGTTGTTTCCCTCCCCAGGACTGCACACAAGGCAACTGAGCCTTGTTCAGTTTGAATTGCTGATGACAAACCAGGGAGAAGCTTCAGGGTTCTTCCTTGTCCTGATGGAAAGACATGGCCTGTGAGTGGTTTGCTAGGTGACTTCTCCCAACAAATCCCACGTGATTCACAAATCTTGCTGTTGTCTTCCTGCCCTGATGATGCAGCTCTGGATGTGCAGCCACCAGACTCGCCCCTCCTGCTTCCCCACTTCATCAGGCACCGAGTTCCTAGCTCTGTCCTCCAGCTTCAATAATAACAACAACATCACTGGAAAAACAGCAGGCAGGAAGATGACATGCAGGAGCAGTGACAAACAGCTAAACATCTGACTTGGAGTTATTAGAGTGTCATCCCCGGGGCATGTGACAAACCCTGTGTTATGGATCCGTGTGCTTGTTAGAGGGAGGAACTGGAAATGGGGTTGGCAAAACCCACAGGCTATCAAAACAATGTAGTTTTTCTTAACCCAGAGTGTCAGACCCGCTCTGAGCACGTACTGTACTGCTGCATCTGCAGCTCACGTACAGGGACATTCTGACAGGGATTTCCCAAGCGCTGCCAGTGCCGTAGCCATAGAAGCAGGAGATAAAAATATTTGCACAGAACCTGGGGGCAGGGTTTGCAGTCTGTGCTGTACCACACAGCTAATTGTAGGTCTGGACTCCCTTGGATATTTCTTTCATTAGTACCTCCCTTGGGATACCTTACTCCATTTGTGCCTCCACAGGCTGGCTTCATCTTTTTTTAAGCCTTTGTTGTGGATTCAGCATATCAAAGCCTCTCTTTGTCAGGACACTTCTATTTTGTACTCTGAATGGGGATTAAACTACACATGGTGTACCTGGAAGCACTTGTGAATCTGTTCTGCCTGATGTCCATCCCCGCCTGGCGTCTCTCCCATACCCCTCACGACTGGTCTGGTGACTCCAGAGCCAGTCTGGGCACATTGGTCTTGGATGAGGGCACAGGATTAGTCACTGCCACCAAACAATGTCTAATTGTGTGTATGTTTTCCTTTCCTCCAGAAAAGGACTCTGTGTTGTCTGTGCTGCCTCACTGCTCTATTTTTCTGCAGTTTCTTATTTTTCCACAAAAAAAGCTGCTCATTCCTCCCAAACTTATTGTATGGCCCAGCCTCAGCTCAAGTGGCTTAAACTCATACAAATGGTGTCACAAGGAGATTAAGGAACATACTTTGTGGCATGATGAAAAGCAGCAAATGACAGCAAAATCCTGCCTTTTCACAAAACACATGTGATCTTTTTTGACTCTGTCCTCATTTTTGGATTACTTCAGAGGAGGAAACTTTGAATTGTAACAGATCTGCCAGCAAGAGCAAAGTGTCTCCAGTCACCTGTGCCTGGTCTTTGCTTTCTTACACAACCTTCTATGTTTAAATAGAGTAGTCTGCTTCTGCTTTTTGTTTGTTTGTTGTAATCTGGTGTTTTATTGGGTCTTATGGGCTCACCTGAAGTCAGTTTAGTAGGAAACAATCCCTGAGCAAGTGAAGTTATATCTATCATTGTTGTCACTTCAAATACTTCAGATGTCTTGCCAGTAAAAAACCCCTTCAAGGTACCAGCATAGCACCTGAAAACTATGAGTGAGACAAGCAAGGAAGGATGTGAGCAGATGGGAAGGGACTGGAGAGTTAGACATGGAAATCAGCAGGTAAAACAGCTGAAATCAGCAAGTAATGCCCAGGTCTGGGTACAACTGACCTGTAATTTTTCCCTGGAAACTGAAGAAGGAAGGAGCTCAGTTTGTTAGAATACGATGCTAAAAACACCAAAATCACGTTTGATCCCCATATGGACCATTCACTTAAGAGCTGGACTCAATGATCCATGTGGGTCCCTTCCAACTCAAAATATTCTGTGATTTGAAGACAATTAGAAAAATTCATAGAAGAAAAAAATCTCATAGAAGTTAAAATATTTAAGACAGTAGAGGAGAGGAAAACTATTAATTTAAAAACGTCCCTTATCATTGCGCATATTAGGAAAAAAATTGCGGCGTAATTATTATGGTAAATTGTTGAAAATTGAGCATTTCTGCGTTGCCAGGCAGGATTGCTGCACTGTGGAGCGGGGCTGCCACCGTGTGTTAAATGCCTGCACAGCTCGGGCTTCGCAGGGAGGAGGTGGAGTAGGAACAGTCCGTTCCCCCTGGAAACGACTGTGAAGACTTCCAGGAAGTCTTCTGGGCTTGGTAGCACTTGACGCACGTTCAGCAGACTCAAATGTCTCTGCTTGCTTCAGGATTTCCCCGGGGAGTAAACAAGAGCCTTCCAGGAAATGTTCTACAGCTTGGGGGACACGTCATGGCTGAACAGGACTTCAGAGAGCAGCTGATAAAGTGGGTCACTCGACGAGATGTTCCACAAACAGTTGCTATTACTATTTCAAGGCCGGGTTGGACGGGGACTCTCAGCAACCAGGTCTAGTGGAAGGTGCCCCTGCCCACGGCAGAGGGTTGGAACTCAATATTTAAGGTCCCCTCTAACCCAAACCATTCTATGATTCTAGGATTCAAGCATGCTGGAAAGCAGAAGGGACATAAACTTATATGTCACTTCTTTATTTTTTCCATTTCACTTCATCACTCACTAATGATACAGTTGGGCAATGACCAGACGATTCAGAAAGAAGTTTATAACCTTGGAGATCAAGACCCTTAGACACAAAATTCCTGTGACTGGGCAAGGTCTGGGACATCATCAAAGATGTTTGGGTTGTTCAGTTCAGCTTTATTCTATCCCTGAAGTGATCTTAGCAACTTTCTCTAAAATTTTCTATGGTTGATCTCAACAGCAGTTAGGTCCTTAAAAACATGTGAGACCCTGTCCTTGTTGGATCTTGTCCAACATTGTCCTTTTTCTCCTTATCTACAAAATAACAATATTTTCTGTATTTCACAGGAAAGAAGACCAGCATATTAGGGACAGTGAGAATTCGGGTACTTCAGTAAGAAGGGCCATGCAGGTGTTTCAGAAATATGTGATATCTGTGTCCTGGGCATTCATATCAACGTGAACATATACATCAATAAATTCATGGTTGCTTATCATTTGATATTTGATGTTCCTCTGCTTTAATGTTTTCAAGTGCTGAACCTGGGGTAGAGACAACACTGATGTAATTCAACACTCACCTTCTCCTGACCGCCTAACCCAAGAAAACATTTTACAGATGGTCCATACCCATGTTCATCCAGTTTGATCAATATTTCTGGATGGTTCAGCATATTTGTATCGATCAGGAGAGACTCACAAATTATTCTATCTGGGAAATGGCTTAAATGCTTCAAACGGTCTTACTTAAATTGGTCTGGTTTTGACAGCAACAGTAGGAATTAATAAATGATACAATATGAATGCAATTAAAAGATGATTGAGCTTTATTTCAGGGGCAGTGTTCCTGCTCCTCCCCTTCTTTGATCTGTTGGCACCTATATAATATTTTTTTAATTCAAATATAACAGACTACTATTTCAGAATTGCTATATATCCTATTCAGAACCAGACTGTCTTCATTCTGTGTATCCTGGAGGACATTTAGGACACATACTGCACAGGCTGTCTGTATATATGCTGTCTTTTGTTTACAGATTGTTTGTTTGTTTTAAAAATGCTTATAAATGTTTGGCACTTTCCAGAAGTTTGGTGTTATTTTTGGGTCTTAATAGACCTTCTCACAGGTCTTTTTGTTTTGGTGTGGTTTTTGTTGGTTTGGTTTGGTTTGGTTTCAGTTTTGTCTGTTTTGAAATCCTCTCTACCATCCTGAGGAAACTCAGGCTGGAGGCAGGAGGAATGAGACGCCTCTGCCATCACCCTGAGGTCACTGTCCTGCGAAATGGTTCAGCACCTTGATCCTGCTGCCTGCTTATTTGTGCCAACTCTGCTACTGGTGTTGTGTGTTAATAAACGGACTTGGAGAATGCCAATGGCCAACCATCTCAAGGAGGTGACAGAAAGAGGTGTCAAACTATGACAGCTCTGAAAATATTTTGAATTTTAGTTAGTTCTTACCCCCTTTCTTGTTAGACTAAGGAAGTCTAATGTCCTGGGAGGGCTGGCCGGGCATCCTTGCCCTCAGCAGGTGCCTGCAGCTTTTCCTCCGGCACAGGATCCAGGTCTGGCACCTTCTGGCCCGCCTTGGCCACCGTGAATCTGCTCATGTGCAGGGCTTCTTCATACACTGGGGGAGTGTCCGATGCCGAGAGGGGTGGTGTTCCCTGGGCAGCACTGTGGGAGTGTGCCACTGCTAATATCCTCCTGGCAGCAGGCCCAAACACGGAGTGGAGAGCTGGAAGGGAGGAGACAAAAGTTGTTTGCCTCATCCTGAAAGCATCATGTGCTTAGGGAGTGCATCTGCAGGGCACAGGCTTTGCTCTCCCCACGGCCTGAGTGTTTTCCTTCAGCCTTTCCCTAAAAGGAGTGTGTGTGAAACCCCACCAATAACATCCCACAATTACTCTCTCCTGAAATGCCACTGAGACCTGTAGCTGCCCTAATTCCACCCAAACGTGTTTCAGGGCTGATTCACCATCTGGCTGCATTTGCTACGAGAAGTGAGCACCTCAATTTGTAGGATGTACGGGTGCTGCTTTCCCTCCATCCTGCTATGAACTTCCCTCTGTCAGCCTTGGGGTGTCACAATCTGGGCTTTTCAGAGTGCAGCCCCTCCCTTGGTGATGTGTTGAAGTCCCCAGCGCCCATCAAAGCCAACTCACAGGTGATGGTGCTCTGGAGGGTGCTGTCGTGGTCGAAAGCGATGACGGTGACCTCGTAGGGCTGTGGCCCTGACTCGTCCCCTGTCTGATGGCACTGAAAACAGCACCTCACGCAGACAGAAACCAGGCCACACAGGAGCAGGAGCCCACCAATCACCACCACCAACCTGGAAAGGGAGGGGACACAGAATTAGGACAGAAAGGTTTTGTTTGGAGGACACCTCGTAATATCTCTCACTGCTTAAAGCGTGGCTGGATGTCAAAGCTAAACATCTGCAGCCTTGTACAGCAGAGTTTGGACATTTCCCAGGGATGCAGATCCCTCATCTCCACCAGGCACCTGTTCAAGTGCTGCACCAGCCTCAGGGGAACCATTTTTCCTTTTGTCTAATCAGAATTTTCCTGTATGCAGCTTGGCCAGCCACCTCAAGTGCTTCTGGTGAGCACCTCCAAGTCTCTATGTTTTGTCTCAAGATCCCCCTTAGGTAGTGGAAAACTAAAATTAGGTTGCACTTTTGGCCTCCTCCAGGCTGAAGAAACCTGGTCCTTTAGTGGCTCTCCAGTGGACTTGTTTCAGTTTGTCAGCATCTCTTTTGTACTGGGGGACCAAAACTGGACTGGTCATGAGTGAAAAGCAGAGGAAAAATTGGATCACACAATCTTCAGGCTATGCTCTCTCTCTGTCTATTTAAAAAATATTTTACATATATATATATATATATATATAAAAAATAGATTGTTATTAATTATTAATGATAAATACATATAATATATAATATATATTATATATTATATATATTAATGCAGCCTTCTAGATGTTCAACAACTACCATTCTTTTTAATCTCATCCCGGTGAGAATTACTAAGAAATTAGACTTCAAAAATGGGTCTTTTAAAAGGCATATTTTGCCATGAATGCTTTATTAATGTTGTTCATACACCTAAATTAATATGTGGAATAAAAAAGGAGGCTGGTAAGTCAACATTTGTTAAAGATGATGGGGTAGCTAAGGGGTTGCCTGGCTACTGTAGAGCATTAGAGCATCCCAAGGGGAAGTGGGGGGTGGCATCACACTTGAGCAGGTCATATTTAATCCCACTCTTTGCTACTGGAACTGTCTAGAGATGCAGATAATTTAGAGTAAAAGTATGTTATCTTACCAGATATACCACAAACGGTCCCACTCTGTACCTGCACAGCTGAAGAGAAGAAGGTACAAAAAATAGTTATCCACAGAATACCAAATAAATGGGAAGATCCCTGTGGCACCTTCTTCCATCTCCCCTCGTGCTCCTCCCTTATTGTCCAACTCCCAGGTGGCACAATGATGAGAAACTCATTGTGCTTTGGGGAGGATACAGTTGTCCAACCTCATCAATCTCCCTGTAGATGGGTTTCCCTTCTGTTTGGCTTTGTCTCTTTATTGCTCTCCTGATATTTATGCCTGCCCAATTCCATTTGCAAACCTTAGAAACCTGCACTCACGTTTGTTTTGTCTTTTTTTGTCAGTATATAATTATTCTGTCATTCTTACAAAGGACATCACTGATAGTGATATTCACCAAGGCAGTATACTTCAAACCATTTTTTTTCAAGGAAAGTTCAATTCCAAATTCATAATCTCGGTCAATTAGAATTACGCCAGAAAGCTCTTAACTATTGCAGTTGTGCAAATAGGCAGCAGGTATGTTACCATACGATCAGGATGTTGATCAATAAAAATAGTGATTAATACACCACATTCAAAGCAATGGTAATTTTACAAGAGTATTTAATACTCTCAATTAAATAAGCTTTTCTGGAAAATGTCAACCATCAAGTCATAACACTCATGTCCACTACTGCCTTTGTCCTTCATTGTTTTCTCAAAAATCCCAGCAATTTGGACAAATACTTACAATTCAGTGTTGAGGCAGCCTTCCTCACCTCTTACTTGGGGGAACTACAAAGGATAAAACAAAAAAAGACACAGCTAAGTGAATTAAATCTTTGGCATTTGCAACTTTTACCTCTGTTACCTGGACCATTACCAGTCTGAATCTCCTATGGGAAGGACTTCTTGTTATGCCTCTTCCATTGTTTCCATCCTGTATTCTGCTGCAGATTTGAAGTTATGTGATACCAACTGCATTGTTTCATATCTTAACTTCCTGTAGTCAGTAAAATCCTGTTTAGTACTGTTCCCAGCACAAACCCTCTCTTACCTTCATCCTCTCCACAACTTGCCCTTTCTCCACCACAAGCTCATGATCCTTCTCCATGCTCCAGTATTAAGAACCTTTAAATACCCTGGTTCATGTAATTTACTGACATGAATTCTGCTCTGTCCCTCCAGCATTCTTACCTTTCTCATTCTTTCAGGTGCCCTGACCTCTGTGTTACCCTCCCTGGAATAGCAGCAAAAATTATCTTCCATGCCTGTTATATATCCAGTCCTTTCAAACATCAGGGAAAATTTTTGTGTTAATGGCCCTCCATCTTTCCAAAGTAACTGCAGAGCAGAGACCCCACAAAGAGGAACGTGAGCTGTGACTTACCCATAAAGAACATCCCAAAACAAAGCAGATCATGTCTGAGCTGTGCATTCCCGTGAGGTGATTCTGTGGCCTCTTGGTGTCTCAGGCTGCTCAAAGTCTTCTTGTCCTTCCTAGTTTCAGTTCATCCTCACCAGTCCAGCGACCAGAAGGAGCAGATTCCGTGCTGTGTGTTGAATCCAGTCTCTTCTTCCTACTCTACCCCTTTCTGTCCTCTGCCCTTCAGGTTTTTGCTTTTTCTCTTTCCCTCTTTGTCACTGGCAATTCCTGATCATTTCTGCCTGTGTCTTTTTGTTGGCCTGTTCCTCTCCCTCTTTTGAAGGGATTTCTAAAGCCTTCCAGTCAGATCAGGAGAAGAGCAGTAGCTACAAGTTCTGACTTTAGATGTTGAACTAGTTCAGTGAAGGGCATCGTGAGATCTCTGCAGACCTGACCCTTCCCTTCTAGGAGCAGAAAGGGTCTCCGAGTTTGTTCATTCCCAATTATTTCTCTCCCCGCCCCTACCCTCAGGGGAGTGGGTTGAAGGTCATGTTATTGACCTTTTTAATTGGAGTTCAGATTCCTCTCCCTCCTCCAGTAACTTTTCTGTCCTGGCATTCACATTGTCCTACCTGCATGGATCCAATCTACTGACTTTGAAGTGAAAGAATATATATATATATATATATATATATATATATATATGAAGTTACAGGTATATGTGTAGATCTATATGTGTGTGTATATATATATGCATACATATATATTTATATATATTAATATTCAGCACCTCTTCTACCTCCAATTTTAAGGCTCTGCCACCATCCCTCTTACCTGGTAGCCTCCTGCTATGTCAGTCCTGCAGCTGAGAGTTTTCACTCACAGGTCCCTCTCCCAAAATTCCTGCAGGGCCATCCAAGCCCCCCTAAACACCTTCTATCACAGGGAATACATGTTGATCCTCCTATCCTGGATACTGTTTGTCCTGCAGCTGATTATATCAGTAGGTTCCATTCAACAACCCATTAATTTTCTCTGCCTTGTAGAGCTGCTTAAAATCTCTGTTAGTGCTCATGGCCATTCAGAGGGTTATTATTACATGCACATAATTGTGTTCACCTAATCTTTCTCTTTTGAACAGCTGAGACAGAAAAAAAATGCTCTGCAGTAATGTGTTAACTATTTGTTCTTGGAAACCACCCGGGACTGGTGCATAAATGTTGGTTAAAGGCAGGAGAGCAACTACGGAAACTTGTTGCCTCATGTTGGAACCACAGTCCATTCACATTAAACTGGTGAATCATTAGCCTGCATGTTAGAGTTGATGGTTTTAGAGTTGCAGAGCAGAACCAATGGATTCATGAACGTAATGAATTCTCCCAAGGCAGGCTAAAAACTATTTACCATTCTCTAATTATAAAAGTTAGTGGTGCAGTATAAACATGCCTTAGCATTAGTTTATCTATCTATCCATCCCTCCATCCATCCCAGTCTACTGGAAGGAGGTTTCTGGGTCCCGATGGAGAAGTAAGAAAGAAAGAAACACGACCTATTGGCTTTGTATTTCTACAGGATTTGCCCAATATTCTTTTTGTCTCTTTCCCCTAAACTCTTTTGTGTGTTGTAGAAGTCTTAGAAGAAAAGACCCAGCAGAATTGTAAAATAGCCTTTCCTGTATGTCTGGCTTTTGAAACTGATGGGCTTCAATGTAGAAAAGAAGTGCAATTTACCAATTTTTTTCTGGGGATTTTTATTATCAGTGTGATAATTCAGTAGATTATCACTTCATTTTAACTGATAATTTTAAATTCTAGCAGGATCCAACAGGAGAAACACCGGATAAAGTGATAAAAAAAATTTCTAAAGGAAAAGCAGCAGTGTGACATGAAACAGTGACCCCTGCAAAAGCATATAATAATTAATTCTTACTGAAACATTGATTATTCTTTTTCCATTTCTGTGGCATTGCTGTTAATACTGTGCTTCCAGTTCTTGTTAAAAGACAGTGATTATCACATGTGACTGTGCCTGGGATCAGTGTGTTTCTCACTTCATTTTACTTTCAATCCTCCTGTGCCCCTTGAGACATCGAGGAGCACTTCTGGCTGAATTTACTGAATATTAATCACTGTTTAATAGAGCCAGGGAACACAGCCTCATGTTGCTGAAAAAGTTCAAGGAATGATTTAGACTTAATCCAAATTTAGTGTAATTTCCTCTTCCCTACACTCCTTCCTTCTTTATCTTTCTAGACAAAGGACAACAGGATGCAACTCAAGAGACCTCAATGTGATGAAGAACGAGCTGCACGCAAATTTCTCAAATATGCTGCAAGAAATTAGGAAATCAGCTGTGCTTGGAAGGGGGAAAGAAATCCATAAAAATAATGGCAAATCAACAAGTTCTGATGAGAGCTTATCTTTCAACATGGCAGGGAAGGAAATGAGGTGTGTCCTCTGTTTCTGCCCAGGTCTGTCTCCTCAGGTGAGTCTGTGTCTTCACGGATGTGACCACCTAGAAAGTAATTTTTTAGCATTGTGTATCTTTGTCTTAAATAGGTTTCCAGGCTGTGCTTTTTTCCCTAAAAGTGGGAACTGCAGCTCTGTAATTGTTGTGGAGAGGAGGTGATGAGCACAACTTGCTTACTGTGACACAAAGCTTTTCCCTTTCCGTCAAAGCCAGCATCATCAAAGGCCAGCAACAGCGTTCTGTCCCAGCACCTTTCCTGAGGGAGCAATCCCCAGACATATTCAATTTTGGAGGTGCTTTTCCAGCCTTGGATGTTGGCTCCAGAAAGAGGATAACAGTACCTTTCCTGTGGAAGTAAAGAACCCACCCCTAGTGTCGGTGGTGGTAAAGGAGAGGTGTGGGAGAAATCTCTAGGAATCTTTAATTTTGGAGGCGGTGGTCAAGTTTTGTAGGTACATTTGATTTCTTTTTTGGAAGTACACCACGCCATCTGGTGGAGCTGCTGAAATGCGGCAGTGGAAGGTAAAAGGCAACGAAAGCTTTTCGTCCTGGCGCAAAACGTGACAGGAGAGAAAACACTCGGTGGGTTTCACACTCACAGCAAAGGATATCAGCTATATTGTGCACTCAGAGCTTTCCTTTCCAACTACGTGTACCAGCCCGTTCTTTCACGCTCATAGAGATCCTGTAGTTAAACTAAAAATATCCAGCAAAAATTTCAGTGCCAGCCGAGAAACCTCCACACTGAACTCACACTCCTTGAATTGCATCACAGCCCCTGCAGCCTTTACCTTCCCCCGGTATTTTATCGTCTGCACCACCAACACCGGGTCTGGGTGCTTTCCTTCCCGAGGAAAGGCGATGTTATCCTCATTCAGGAGCCCACCTCCAAAGTTTGGATGCAGCCTGCAAAAGTGACTGCTCCCACACAAAGGGATCCCACACAGGATAGGAAACTTTAGCTGTCTTTTCCCTCCCAGCAGCAGCCCATCATCTGCACAGCCAGCACTGCTCCAGAGCTGGGCTGGGCTGGAGGTGGGACAGGCTATTGCCTTGCCAAAATCAATGGAGTGCCATAATTTACAGGAGCCCAGCTCCACAATTTGTGTGCAGTCTCCAAAGTTGAATAAGTCCAGGGATTCATCCTGAAGAAAAGGAGCCAAGAGAGAAAGCTGCTGCTGGCCATTATCTCCCCTGTGCACCCCACCATCTCTAACCCCAGCACTGGGACAGGGTGATTTCCTTCCCAAGGGTTCTTCGACCCTCAGCAGCCCCACAGCAGAAGGGTCATCTGAGAGACCAGGGAAGGTATTCAGCGCTCTAATTTCCCCTGTCTCCACAGCAGCTCTCCCAAAATTCCCTTTCGGGTCTTTGAAATTCCTGCTCCTGAGGCAATCCTTGCCAAGGATACACTGGGCCAGTCACATTGGGGTGTTTTTGCCATTTTTTCCCAGTCAAGCTCACTCAGCTGCCAGTACAGTCCACCAAAACATCACATGGAGGGTGTAGAATACACAGTTTGGTCACGTCCACATAGTTCTGAGCTTCCCCTACTATCCCTGTAACTAGGATGATAAAAACAAACAAACTAACAGGCTGTCTTTGTATGCAACAGATGTCAGATTTCAGAGTTACTGTAGGCAAATTAATTTAGTAGTCTCACATAAAAGAGATTTCTTATGGTTTTGATGATTTGTTTTTCCTCATGCTGTACATTTTCCCCAGCATGGAATGCAGTAGGGCTCAGCATGACAACCTCTGGAATTACAATCAGAGATGGTAAGGGATGTGGGAGAAAGACTGTGTGGGTTCTGCCAGGTCTAGTAAAAATGGTGGGGATGATTTCCACAAGGTACTTGCCATGATTATTGTCCTTTTAGTATATTCTCTTGCTGTACACAATAACATAGGTACAAGCAAAAATACATCAGGCTGAAAATTTATTTTCATACCTCAAAGAAAATAAAAAGATACACTTAAAATTTTCAGAAGTGCTCCGGTGATTTAGGTTCATTTCCAAACATAGCATGTGGAGCAGCAGGAGTTCACTTCCATAGTTCTACATGTGTGAATTACTTAAGACTATAACAACCATGTAGACACTCTCATTCTCCATGGAGTGAGAGAGTCATACCCAGGGGGGAATTGATTCCCACTATCTTATATATCCAGTTTAGGATGAAAAGAATAATCCTCTGAAAATGTATTTTTCTCTCCCAAGGCCATATAGGGAGTCTGGCCAACCAGCAGAGACATAAGAAATCAAATATCTGCTATTTAATCCTGGGTGAGGCGAGTTCTGTGTTTAGTATCTAACTCCCCTTCCAGGCATTCACACTGAAATTAGACACCTAAACTTTTTATTTGTGGCTACTATGTATCTAAAAGCCAAAATTTGTAATTGGGCCTAAGAAATGTAGATACCTGGTTGAGTTGAATGGGAGAAAATGAACCTAATCCTATTTTAGTTCTACCTTGTTTGCAGAGGATTAACATCTGACTGGCTTAAAAATAATGATGATTTTCTGGGCAACACACAATAATAGTCTGAATTGTCCAGTAACAACCTAGAGGACAAAAATTCTATATAGCACAACAAAAAGACAACCTTTTTTCCCAGTTTCTCACACACAGACACACACAGAAAAAATCCACAATATCATTGTAATCTCTAATACGAGTGGATTTGTGGGTTTGGTAGAATTTAAATTATAATACAAAAAGTTTACATGGTGATTTTTAGGATGCAACTCCTCTGCACTTAGAGGATGGGGAGATCTTGCATTACTCTTGACAGCCTTGAAAAGCCCTCCAATATTAAAAGAACAGCTCTCAGGTTTTGCAGGGTTTTTGAAGCAAAAAAAAGGAATGCAATCCAAACCAAATTATGCATTTGCTTGCCAATGGGGCTGATTTTTAATTTTTTTTTTTAATAAAACAACCTTTGTCAAACAGAACAAATAAAACTGGAGGGCTGAAAAGTTCTATTTTGTGCAGGATCTAACTTTGCACGTGGGTTTGGCCAAGATTAGGAGCTACCAAGGCAAACTGTGGTGCCTCTGGTGTGCAGTTGTCCCTCAAAGATCAGAAGGTTTGTAAATCCCTGCTCAAGTCCTGTGGCTTTGTTCACCTTTTATAGTGATGAACTCTGAAGTCTGGGATTTTCTTGTCATTCTCCATATAGAGTCCTTAGAGCTGCTCAGGTTGCTCTGTTGAAATTTTGCTGTATATATTTTCCACAACACTTTTCCCCATAGAAACCA